TTTGCAGTGGGCACGATAACATGACCACTGGACTCCTGAGCAATGGAGGGCTGTTCTCTTTACGGATCAGTCCAGGTTTAGTCTAGAACGCGACAGTAGGCGTTATTTGATATGGAGAGAACTTGGAACCCGTCAAACATCCGTGAAAGAGATGCATTCGGAAGAGGCAGTGTCTGTGTTTAGGGTGACATCTCTTTGGGTGGACGCACAGACCTCCATGTTTTTCCAAGGGGAACCGTGAATATTCATGTTTATAGAAATGACATCATTGATGCTTATGTGCGCCCATATGCCGGGGCAATAGGAGATGCTTTCCTGCTACAGGACGACAAAGCAAGACCACACAGGGCTCACATCGTATATGATTATCTTCAACAGGAAACAATTATGCGTAGGGAGTGGCCAGCTCGATCCCCGGACTTGAATCCTATCGAGCACGTTTGGGATGCTTTAGGTAGACGTCTAGCTGCTCTCAATCCGCCCCCTCAAAACCTTGTAGCGCTTGCAACTGCTTTGCAAGAGCAATGGCTCTCGCATTTTATGGAACTGATAGACCGCACAATTGAAAGCATCACACATCGCTGTATGTGCTGTATTGCTTCTAGAGGCGATCATATTGCATATTGAAGGTACTTTTCCTATAGCAAACTGACACCTTCGATTTGTTCATTTTAGTATACATATGCTAATTTCTATACTACCATATTTGTCTGGTAATTTCTTTTTATGTTATTTGATACCTTACTATGTGTTGTATATTGTGGGTAAGTTTCATAAAATTCTACATGTGACTTTTTCATTAATCGTGATTTTTGTGATTTTTTCTTAATTTATGATAACCAGTGTACAATTTTTATTCATTCAAAACTTGAAAATTACGAATATCAAATGAATTGTGATATTGGTGCATTAAACCTACAGGGCGTAGTTGAAATTAACCAACTCTTTCTTTCCAAATACGAGCGATATCCGCCAGACGCAAATTTGTAATACGAGCTGCGTTTGTTTTCGCCCATTGCAGTGCATAACTGGAATATGAGCTCATCTCGGTTGAGGACCATCAAAAATTTAATAAGGAAGACTTCTCTAAATCAGAAAGAAGTGTTTCAAAGTTTTATTTCCGTTATTATTACTAAAGAAAACGAAACAGGAATGTGGAACGTGGGTCCTGTTGACGTTTTGCTATTTGTTCTAAAACACAGTTCTTCAGATAATGTAATTTTTTACTGCTGAGAATTTTTTTTCACGATTGTGTTTCTAGTTGTGATAAGAGTTTTTTAAATAAAAATTCTTTCAGAACTACAAATGATAGATTTTGCATTTAACGAATAGTTCTGTACTATCAGAATAGTACTCCGTAATAGGTTGCTTTGCAAACGAATGTAATAATAATGTGGAGATCATCGACGACTGATACTGACTTAGCGAATTACCAGCATGTGACGTCATCCCAGCATAGCTCAGTGTGAAGCAGACGAGACCAACGAGAGATAGCGTCCAGACGTGGACGAGAGTGGAGTGCAGCAGACGGCTTGCTTCAAGAGTTGAAGAAGACAGACGGTCTTCTTTGGTGTTTAACTGTCTTTAGCTGATTATACTATTTAAAGCCAGCTGTGGAAGTTATAATGATAACGCATTCTATCAACGCCGGAGGAACTAATATTGTCTGTGATTGTTCATCATTACATGAATCCTGGAACATTAATCTTTACTTAATTTATCTTTGTTACTTTTATCTATTTCTTATTAGTAAAATAAAAGCATTTAACAATGCAATATTCATCCTCTATCGTTTTGAAAGTAAAACCTACAAACTTTGGCGAACAACCGTCGGCAAGGAGCTTATCAACGAACCTCAAATCGAAAGCGTGCCACTAGTATTATGAACTGTGTATTGAACTGACTGAGAGAACTTTTCTTCCAAGTTATTGGATTTATTGGATTACTGTTTAAGTGTGTGGATTACCCCAATTGAAGACGATCATCTGTCGGGTGAGTACAAAACTTTCTTTCCAATATGAAGTTAGTAGAAATTCCAGAATTGGAAGCAGCTTTAAAGAATAGTAAAAGTTCTGAAATCAAAAGTTTGTAAAAGCTTGTTTTTAATACTGATGGAGATCGAAATAACCGGAAAAGATTACGTGAATTTTCTAGCTTTACATTTAAACCAGATTCTGAAGAATTTAATAAGAAAAAGATACAGTGCAGAATAGTTTTACTTTGAATGAGTTAATTAAAGTTTTCAACGTACTATGTATAAATTCAGATGGTTCAAAATCAGAAGTAGTAACCCGAATTGTCTCTTTCCTATGTGATTTATCTGTATTATTTGAAAATATTTTGCATGAAGAAAATAGTGATATTGAAGATGAAACTGTTAATAAAATTTCTGAAGTAGTGCTTGATGATAATCAAAGAGACAATTCCTGGTTTTAATGAGTCTCTCAAGTAAATAACAGTATGCAGCTTCCAATTCAAGATCATTTTAAACCTCATATTACTTTTTCGGATATTGAAAGTATTGTTAATCCTTTTTATGGTGATGCATATGAAAATGTTGATAAATGGATTGATGAATTTGAAGATGTTATAAACTCTTTGAAATTGAGTGATTTGCATAAATTAGTTTTTGCTAAAAGATCATTAAAAGGTAAAGCGAAACTATTTATTCAGAGTGAACCTAAAGTTAATGACTGGTGTAAGTTAAAAAAGCTTTTGAAATGTGAATATGGTAAAGCTTTTAATTCTGCTGAATTGCATGAAATGTTATGTAAGCGTAAATTAATGCCTAATGAATCTTTAGATGAGTATTTTTTGAAAATGAAAGAAATGTGTTCGCGAGGTAACATTGATGATGCTTCATTAATTAAATATGTCATAGATGGTATTCCCGATTCTGTGGTGAAGAAAACTATACTATATGGTTGCGAAATCTGATTATCTGAATTTAATATCTGAATTTAAACAAAGGCTTAAAATTTATGATAAAATGAGATCGGACAATGATAAGTTTAAAAATCCGAAACCGAAAGTAGACACCCAAGTTAAAGATAGAAGTAAGCTTGCGTCATCAAACCGAAATCAATCTAATGTTAATAAGGTCAAATCGAAGGGGATAAAATGTTTTAAATGTAAAAGGTTTGGGCATAACTCAACTGACTGTCAGGACCAGCCCGAGAAACAAGCAGCTTTAATACAACGAATTTATGATAAGGATAGAATTATGAAGACTGTAGAGATAAATAATCATTTAGTTGATAGTCTAGTTGACACTGGTTCCGATGTCACGATATGCAGCGCCGAGTTACACAAGCAGATTGGTTCTCCCAAGTTTAAATTGTAGCGATATCACATTAAACGGAATTGAATCAAAGCAAACGTATCCCATTGGCTTTTTTATTTCTGATATTTCAATTGATAGTTTTTCACTTCGTACGAAAATTTATGTAGTCAAGTCGTTATGTAATCAAATTGTATTAGGTTTGGATGTAATGAATCAGTTTAACTTCTCTTTTACCGAGAATGGCCTTCAAATAATTTATCATCGGGATAAAAGTAATGTAAACTTGATAACTGCTGAGTCATATCGAAATGCTAACGTTCGTTGCGTTATTGGAAATTTGAATATTGCAGTGTCATTGAAGAATTTTTATGATCTTTCTCAATCGCCTGGCGTCTACGTTAATCTAAACAAAAACTCCGAAAGCGGAAGTGGTTCGGAAATTAATTACCTTTCACATCTGTTGAATGCTATCTCTGTCAACGAGATTGATTTATCGTATATTTCAAATGCAGAACATAAAGAAAGACTGTGTAAATTAATTAATTCGTACCAGCCTCGGAAAAATAGACAATCTGACTTTAAGATGCAAATAAATTTATGCGATGAAATTCCTGTCTGTCAAAATAGAAGATACATGTCTTTCGCGGAACAAAAAATTGTTGACGATCAAATTAAGGAATGGCTGAAAGAAAAAATAATAAAGCCTAGCAACTCTAACTATGCGGCGCCTATTGTTTTGTGTAGCAAGCGAGATAATTCTAAAAGATTATGCATTGACTATCGGAAATTAAATAAGAAGATTATTAAAGACAAATTTCCACTGCCTTTAATCCCGGAAATACTTGATCATTTAGAACAGTCAAAGGTCTTCACGACACTAGATTTGAAAAATTGCTTTTTCCATGTAGACATAGATGAATACTGCACAAAATACACCGCATTTGTAACACATAATGGTATTTATGAATTTCTTAAAGCTCCTTTTGGTTTATGTATTAGTCCAAATGTTTTCCAAAGGTATATTTATTCAGTATTTCGTGACTTGCTAAACGAGGGTGTACTAATTATTTATATGGATGATATAGTCATACCAGCTGTTACGTATATCCGTCGAATTAGTAGACTGTAAGTTAGTTTTACAACACAAACTTTAATGAACATAATTATTTACAATTACAGAAATTACAGGTACATTGTTTCGTATCGAGAACAGAAGTATCGTTGCTTAATGGCTGCGTAGGTCGAGAGTGAAACTCTCTTTCTCGTTGCCTAGACGATCTCCACTCGCGCTTGCGCAGCGTTGTCACAAAAGTTCAGTGAAAGAAATATTTCAAACTCGTAACACTCCCCGCCGATTGGATTCTTAATCCAATATTTCTATCATTTATAAAACAATACAATATAAAATTAAATGAAAGTTATACAACAATTACACTCAAAGTACAATAGTAATATTAAATATAGAAATGAAACTTAAATACAATACTTAATACACAGGTAACAAACAAATATATCGTACAGATCTTTTAAGTATCTTGCCTTGTGGCAAGCGTATATTCATAACTCTTACTTTCCCATCACTTCCAGTGAATATTTCTTCTACTCTTCCTGTTAACCACTTGGTGTATGGTAGGTTTTCTTCCCTTACCAGCACCAAGGTTCCGACCTTTATGTTATTCTTACTGAAATGCCACTTATGGCGTTGTTGCAAATTATTTCAGTAATCTCTTTTCCAAAGCTTCCAGATTCTTTGAGAGCATCTGGAAACCTTTTCCCACTTGCTAAGCCTATTTTCATTGATATCTGTAAGTGGGGGTTCTGCGATGGAAGTGATGGGTCTCCCAATAAGGAAATGCCCTGGGGTTAGGGTTTCAAAGTTATCAAAATCAGCCGACAATGGAAACAATGGTCTGGAGTTCAGAACTCCTTCAATTTCCGCTAACAATCCTCCAAAATTAGGAGATCCTGGAGGGTTAAAATGCCAATCAATTGTTTCCTCCGTGAAATATTGAACCAATTGTTCATCTGGAGAATTTACGATTTTCAGAAGTCTTTTTAGCTCGGCATCTGCGCCAACGAAATTTCGTCCATTGTCAGTGAAAATCTTAGAAGCCTTGCCTCGCCTAGAGAAAAATCTTTTCAAACTAGCAATGAAACCTGTTGATGTTAAATCACTCACAAAGTCTAGATGTATTGCTTTAGTACAAAAACATACATAAATTGCTACATATATCTTATTCAATACCCCTTTCCTCTGTCCTTTGAATTTCACGTAAAAGGGTCCGCAAAAATCTATGCCGGTAACCGTAAATGGAGGAGAAGGTTCTATGCGTTCTTTAGGCAGTTGGCCCATCAACTGTTGCTCTACAACTGGTTTGTTCTTTGCGCACGTGACACAATTGTTGTATCACCAATCTGCACAATTCCCTACCGCTTAACGGCCAATACCTTTGCCGTATTAGGTACAGCAAAGTCTGGGATCCTGCATGCAAATATTTCAAATGAAAATACTCTACAATCATGTAAGTTAAGGGATGTTTAGATGAGAGGACAATAGGATGTTTAATGTTATCGTTAACACTAAAATTGATTATTCGTCCTCCAACGTGAATAAGACCATTTTTATCAAGAAAACAATTAAGAGAAGCTAATTTACTTTTACCTTTTACATTCTCACCTTTTATTAAGGCAGAAATTTCTTCCGAATACTCACTTTGGGCAAATTTTAAGAGAACAATTTCTGAATTGTTCAACTCTTGACACTTCAGATACCCACTTTTTTTGTCTTTAGGATTTCTACAGTTATGAATAAATCTAAAAACATAAGAAACTATACGAATAAGTTTAGAAAAATTATTAGTAATTTTAAGCAGATCATTATAAAACAAAACATTCTGGTTAGTTATAGCAAAACGTAGAGTTATACTCCTTCTACACATGAACCCTTTTTCAATTCTGAAATATAATATTCTTCAGGAACAGAATTATTACTCGGAAATACTGAGACTTCATTTTTTCTTAAGAATTCAGGACCTGACCACCAGGTCTCATTTTTTAAAAGATCTTTTACACTAGCACCTATTGTTACAAGGTCAGCTATATTTAGTTTTCCAGGTATGTGTGACCAAGCTTCAGGATTGGTAAGAGCCTGAATCTCGTTCACACGATTGGAAACAAATTGTTTCCATTTATAATGAGGTCTTTTAATCCAGAACAATGTGATCTGGGAGTCTGTCCAGAAATGAACTGTAGACCATTGACTCCTTTGTCGGCTGATTTTGATAACTTTCAAACCCTAACCCCAGGGCATTTCCTTATTGGGAGACCCATGACTTCCATCTTATGTTTCCTTTTTCGTTTTACATTTTGTTCTACCTCTTTCGCCAGTCTGACTGCGAGCAAAGTCCCCATGAGTTCAAGTTTTGGTAGAGCCAGTTTCTTTAATGGGGCAACACGACTCTTAGAAGCAATTAAGTTTACCGAGATTTTGTCAGCATTTTTAACTCTTAAGTATACTGCAGATCCGTATGCCCTTTGCCTGGCATCGGAAAAGACATGGATTTGAAGTTCGTTGGTATCACCTAGGCTACCGTCGAGGATCATCCTAGGGACTTGTAAGTTCGTAATATCAGATAACTCAAGCTTACATTGACTATACGTTTGAAGAAGGTCTGCTGGAAGTTCTGCATCCCATGAACACTTCCTAAGCCACAGTTCTTGGAATAGACATTTGAGTCTGATTGTAAACGGCGTTAGAAGACCAAGCACATCGTACAATTTTTCCGCTGTTTTTAACAGACCGTTTTTTAACTTTTTTTGTAACACTTTCTCCTTTATTATACTCGAGTAAATCTTTCACATCAATAGTGATGTAGTCTTGATGCACGTGCCACGGAAGACCGAGAACCTTTTGTAGTTTGTCAGTAGGCCTGGCCTCTGAATGAATGGGATGGATTTTGAAACCCTTGTCTTCCCATATTTGTAACAGTTCCTTGCTGTTGGAACTCCATTTACATAAATTCATTGCTGCGTCAGCCATAATCCTTTTGGCTTCACACGACATTTGAAAGGCAGATGAAACGTTGTCGAGAGCTCCAACAAAATCGTCGACATATAGACATTTATCGAGCATTTCCACCGTGGCGGGATGCAACTCTCGAAACTTTTCGATGTGTCCTTTAATGGTGGCAGACAGCAAGTAAGGACTGGCGTTGACGCCAAACAGAACACGGCAAAATCTGAAAATCTGGATGTCATAATGTTCATTTGTACCTGGGTTTTTACTTGGAAACAGAAATCGTACTGCATTTCGATCCTTTTCATGCAAGATATCTGCAAAAACGCTTTCTCGATATCTGCTAAGACGACCACCGCATTCAAACGGAAGAAGGCAAGCATGTTGAATATCAGAGGGTTAAGGCTAAGTCCAGTGTATAAGTAGTCATTCAGGGAAAGTTCACCCTGTTCATGTGCACTGGCATCAAAAACGATTTGTTTCTTGGAACTGACGGAGTCTCTGTAAACCATTGAAAATGGTAGATAAAACAGATCACTTTCTACCTTGTCATTTGGAAACTTTTCGATGATACCCTGAGTTTCATAATCATTCAGTATCTCTCGGTAGTCGTTATAAAGTTCTGAGCATCTCTCAAATTTCCTATTCAAATATTCTAGTCGTCTCCTAGCAACTTCTAAGTTATCACTTAATTCCTTAAAGTCGCGCTTCCATAGTAACCCAACTTCGTACTTTCCCTCCTTATAATGCGCAGAATTCTTAAAGAGTGTTATGGCCCTAGCTTCCTCATCTGAGTGTACACTTTGGAGGACACCAATTGATTCTAATTCCCAGAATTGTCTTAAACCCTCATCAACACCATCTTGTATAAAATAACATCGAGAATTACATGGAGACACGACGGGAATAGAACCTGTTACCATCCACCCGAAAACTGTTTCAATTAAAGTGACAGAATTACCCCTTAACTGGATTTGGTTTCCTCTTAATAATTCGTAAAACACGTCACCTCCCAAAAGAAGCGATATTTTTTTAGGTAAATAAAATTTAGGATTAGTATACTTTATATTTTCTGGCAATTTTAAATTTTTGATATCTATTTTTTCAGCTGGAACATTTCCAGCAATTTCTGGCAAAATTAAGAATTCGAGTTCCTTACTGAAAGATTCTTCGTCGTTAGCTATGTGCGTACAAATTTTTTCCGTAATCGGAATTACAGTATTTTTTAATCCAATTAAATCTGCTCTATATCTCGATCTTTGAAAGCCTAATAAATCAGCTGCTTCCTCAGTTATTAAATTTCGCATCGAGGCTGAATCACATAACGCATTTAACTTTAACCAAATCCTCATTGGATTGCCTTAAATTAACTTTGACCGTGGAGAGAAGAACATTTTTGTTTGTATTAATAAAAACAAGAAGTGTTTTGCGTTTCGCTAACTGAGCCATCTGGCACCGGTGATTGCGCAACACTTGGTTTCAAAATTCCTGTCTTTTCCTCCTTCATCGGCTCCACTGTCAATAATAAATCATGCTCATTTTTGTTTTGTTTTTGCCTTTCGAATGCGAAATTTGCTCCGTGTGACACTGTACTATGATTTTTGTTACATGTTTTACACTTTAAATGAATTTTCTTACATTTAGACATTGCATGAAATCCAAGACAGTTATAACACAGATTAAACTTTTTAACGTATTTTATTCTCTCGTCTGCGTTTGATTCAATAAACCTTTTACATCTGAAAATGGGGTGTGATTCGGTGCATCCTAACATACAATTATTTTTGTCATTTTTTACTATTAGCGTTTTGAATTTCGGAGTTAATTCCCGTTTAAATTCATCTCCTTCCATACCTTTGTTTACGTTTTCCAAAGCTTGGCATCTTTTGTTTATAAATTCTGCACACTTTGCCCAGCTCGGTAATTCAGAACCTAATTCCATTTCGTATAACTTACGAGTATCAATATCTATTCTTTGAAGAATTACATATATTAAGATTGCTTCGCAAAGAGGGTTTGCGTGTAATTCCAACTGTTTTAAGGATCGCAAATTACTTTCGATTTTATCAAGCATCTGTCTTAAATTAGATGAGGATTCACATTTAACTTTAGAGCAATTAAATATTTCATTAATATGACTCATAATAAGCAACCGTGCGTTTTCAAAACGTTTTTTCAATGTTTCGAATAAATATTGGTGCTACTTTGGTAGACGGTTGCACGGATTTTGGCGATTTTTCTTTTGGCGAGTAATACAACTTATGGTAAACCCATTGCTGGGTAAGTTATTTATGGTAACCGATACTTTGTTGTCATTTTATTAAAAAAATAATGCGTTTTATTATGCATAACTTCCGTGTTTTAAATATTATTTATGGCTTCTAAATATTAAAAATCAATTTAATTTTACATTTTTATTTGAAATAAAAATTTTGTTGTTTATAATATTTTATATAATTTTATGTTGTTGATGATGTAATCAAAGACGTCACCTTACTTAAAAAGTAATTGGTTTAATTAATATCTATAAATCTAATGTTTTAAACATTATTTATGAATGTTAAATATTAAAATACAATTTAATTTTGCATTTGTTTTACAAATTATTTTATTATGAATGATTATTTAAATAATTTTAATTCTATGCGTGATGTAATCAGCTCCCTGATTGGTTTGGTTACTGAATATTTGTGCATTACCGCGCGATTTTAAAATTTTATTATTCATCTCTTAGAATTCGTCAGATTTCAAATGGAATGGATATCTCTGTTTCGAAGATGAATGTTGTTATTTGTTTTGGCCTCCTCGGTGATTGCGGTGATTTGTGCCCAGAGGGCGCACCGCACAAAGAGTTAGTTGCGTTACAGAACGTAAGGGAAGCGGACACGCCAAAATGTCGGGCGTATTACCGCTAATTGAGGTAATTGCATCGTATCTGTCAGGTGGCAGAAAACTAGTATGATGTATCAATTCACATGCCAGGTGGCAGAATATGTCTATCATGTACATGTCAGGAGGCATAACGCTTGTAAATATGCCAGGTGGCATACGACTTGTAAATAAATTGTAAATAAATGTACAGTAAAATATCTTGGTGCAATAGATCAAGGAACAAGCATCAACAACCTTCTGATCATTTGGATACGTACATTTTTTTTTTTTTTTTTTTTGACACGGTGATTGTGGAGATGAAGAATGGACGAAGAAAAGTAGTGAGTCATGAAATTAGTGACTGAAAAAAATAACAAGATTTTTTTTTTTTCAGTAATAGAATTGTTTGGTATTATATTGATAGAAAATGGTAAAGGGGCTAAACTTATTTTTCTTAAAGGTTATTT